GCAGATTGGTGAGGGACAAGTCGGCAACTCGGCTGGCCAGTACACTTGCCCCCCAAGCACCGAGTGATGTAAGAGCAAAGGGGCTTCTGAGGAGTTCCCAAATTTGTTGTTTGAAGGTTCAAATTTGACCTTGTGAAGTAGATGTGATCTCAAGGTTCGGACTCGACCTTGGCATATCAAGGTTCGAACTCGACCTTGGTTAAGAAAATGTGATCTCAAGGTTCGGACTCGACCTTGGCATATCAAGGTTCGAACTCGACCTTGGTTAAGAAAATGTGATCTCAAGGTTCGGACTCGACCTTGGCATATCAAGGTTCGAACTCGACCTTGGTTAAGAAAATGTGATCTCAAGGTTCGGACTCGACCTTGGCATATCAAGGTTCGAACTCGACCTTGGTTAAGAAAATGTGATCTCAAGGTTCGGACTCGACCTTGGCATATCAAGGTTCGAACTCGACCTTGGTTAAGAAAATGTGATCTCAAGGTTCGGACTCGACCTTGGCAAGTCATCACAGTTAATGTGCCAATACCAAAAATATATGGGAGTGGAGTTGCTTTATTGATTTAATTCTGAGGTGTGCCTCGTTAAAACCTTCTTTGGCCAAAAACCCTTTTCTTTAGTGGGAAAAAAGGCTGAGGAGGAAAAAGAGTACATCACCTGAATTTACAAGTTAAGAGAAATAAAATTTGAGGTGGATGGAATTCCAGGTTCCAAATTTTCCTTTGGAGGGGTCTGTTCTTGCATCTCTCACCCCACCAAACAAGGTCGCCAACTTTAAGTGTTTGTGGCTTGACCTTGGTCTTGCTTTCCTTATGGTTTGTTGCGAACTTGGTCACGAAAAGCAGAGTGCTCTTCCATCTAAATGTACCCTGCAGCTCGGGCACGGAGTTCGTCCATATCAAGAGGAGATCGTAGACACAAGCTGTCCACGAAAGGTCCAGGCTTGAGCGCCATGAGCATGGCGTGTAGGGCGACCTCGGGGTTCAATTTTTGAATCTTGACCGAGATACTAGCAAAGTGTTCCATGAACGCCCTTAGTAATTCGTCGTCGCCCTGTCTGAGACTAGCCAAGGCAGCTGATGAGACATGGTGAGGTCGACTCGTGGCATACTGCGCCGTGAATCGCCTTACCAGAGTGTCGAAGTTGTCTATTGACTCCACCGGCGGGTGTGTGTACCAGTTGAGCGTTGCCCCCTTGAGCGAGGTCGGGAAAACCCTACACAGAATATCATCTTTATTAGTGTATAGGTTTACCTGTGTAATGTATAGATCGACGTGCTCGTCTAGGTCTGTCGTGTCGTCGTAACGGTCGAGGTGGAGAGGCTTCCACCCCTGAGGGAGTGGTGTCTCCATGATGCCGTCCACAAAGAGATGACGACGGAAGGTTGCTTGACCCCCTGTGACATGAGTTGAGGCTTTGCTGACTTCATGGACCGATTTGTTCGTCGGAACATGAGACCGATGCGTGGCAAGTCGTGGAGTCGGTGCCTTAGTCACAGTTCGGGGCTGAGAGACCGAGTGCCCTTCTTCCTCGTGGAGGTTGCTCGCCTCAGGAGGATGATCAGAGGGGCGCCGAGGGAGCTGGGCGCGAATCCGCTCGTTTTCAGCGCGTAGCGCTGCTAGATCTGCTTCATTGGCGGTCCGCATCGCAGCTAGGTCGATTTCGTGCTGGGCACGCATGTTTCGAAGATCGGTGTCGTGTTGCCGTCGCATCTGTTCGACCTGGTCGATCAGTCTCCTCAATGTGGCTTCTTTGTCCATGGTAGTTGAGTGGTTTGCGTCGTCTATTGCGCGTCTGCTATGGCTTCTGGTGAATACCATAAGCGTAGCCGATAAGAGCTGTCTTGATCGGCCCCACGGTGGGCGCCAAATGTTCTTACCGGAAATCTGCTGTAGAGATGATCCTCCGAGTAAGATTGGTGAGCCTCCTTCGCTGGTACACTTGATGCTCCAAGATGGGGGTGGTACCTGCAAAAGAGACTCCGATGCTAAAGTTAGTGTTTGTGGGAGTATTAGTCTCGTATAAATAATGCACGTACCTTAGTATGAATTAGGGTTTTACTGGGCCTTGGGCCCGAGATCAGTTATGACCTATTTGGGTGACGAGCTGACGTCACATAGCGCGTGTCCGAGGTCGTCTTGTGATGTGATACCGAGCTGGGAGCTCAGCTTCGCAGTACGGATAGTACACTAGCCCCCCGAGCTCCGAAGACCGTAGGTCAAGGAGTTAAGACCGAGCTCGTCAGGAAACAGTGACCTTTCGCGTATACCTGCCTATCATGATGCCATGTGTCATGGTCGAGCTGAAGAGCTCAGCAATAATGAGTTTACTGCTTGGTTAGGCTGGTAAACCTTTGACCGAGTCAGCAGATTGGTGAGGGACAAGTCGACAACTCGACTGGCCAGTACAATAACGTATATTCCATTATATTAAGTTATATTTGAAAATGTTGTCTATGATATTTTACCTATATCTCATTATGTTAGTGTATGATATTTCATTATGATCGTCTACATGTGATTATGGTATATGATATTCAATTATGTGCATAAAAAATGGACTAACACTCTCACCATATTCCAATGGACTATCATCCTAATGCATTGCGCGGATAAAAAAAATATACCAACAGGCATTAATTAATGCATGAAAGAAGAAAATGATAATTTTATATATTATTTTTTATATAAAAATCTAACTTAATAAAATACAATTTTAAAATATCAATTCACCTCTATTTTTTATATATATAATTTTACTCTACCAATTACTTATAAATTTTACTATATTTCACTCTATTTCTTATTTTTTTAATCAAATTAATTATCACCTATTTTGTACACTTCCTCCTATTCTTCATCCTCAACCAAGCATATGCTTAAACACACAAATATTATTTTAGTTGAATCTTAAAAACAATTGTGTACTAATTACTGAAACACATTGTTTACTTTTGTTTGGCGCTTTAATTTGTTATACCTTATTATTTTGCAAAAGAAATCCAAATTCTTTAGGGTAATTAAAATATTATATATATTCACTTTTTAAAATATTCATCATATACTATTAGCAATAATTCTTAATTTCTGTTTGGTGTACAATTATTAAGACCGCCATAATTTATATGATTTGGCATGTGAAAATAATTGGAATAGTATCAGATCAAGTATTCAAGAACAATCCAATATCAAGTGAAAGGAATTTAGACATAAAAAACAAAATGATAATTAGTTGGTACAGCAGGACACCTTGGCTGTGGGCAATTTTTGATCTTATATCATTTGAAAAATGGATTTTATTTTACATTACGTTTGTATTAATTATGCTAGCATAAAAAACAATGTTGAACACTTAAAAGCGTGTTTTTGACTATATTTAATTACATTATTTATTTATATAATGTTAAAACTGATATAATATATTTATAAATCGTATTGATTTAATCTCATTCTATTATTAACTATTCATCCTATCAAATCAAGGTGAGATAAATAATTAATAAAAAATTATAAAGTGAACTTTTTGTAACCAAATTTATGAATATCCGTACTTTCCACGGTTCACGTTGGCATAAGGCACGTGGTCACGTGTGTGTGCTTCTTATGTCTGATGCCCCACTAATGTAAAGTTAACCATAAATTAATATGACCACATAGAAGCAGTTCCTCTAAAATTGAAAGATAAAAATGAAAAAAGGAGGTGTATTAAGAAAACAAGGAAATGCAAATAGAACCACGTAGATGTTAAACACACCTCCACTCTCGTATCAACACACCTTTTTTTTTTTTTTTAAATATATAAAATGTCTAAATTATCCTTTAAAAAAATGAAATTTCTAAATTTACATCTCCCTTCCCCGCATCTCCTTATCCTGTATAAGCATGTAAACTTTAGTCTGGAACGATACCAGAACGGGTCGTTCTGCAAGAAGAACGACCCGTTCTGCAAGAAGAACGACCCGTTCTGCTTTCAGAACGGCCCGTTCCGCAATCAGAACGCCCCGTACTACAAGCAGTACGGCCCGTTCTGCAAGCAGTACAGGCCGTGCTGCTTGCAGTACGGGCCGTTCTGCTTGCAGTACGGGCCGTTCTGGGGCCGTTCTGTTGCAGTACAGGTTACCGCGTCACTTTTAAAATGGCTACTTTATGACTGATTTTAAAACTCCGATTTTAAAAGTCATTTTTGTACTAGTGTTTCTTTCCATAGAACAAGTAAGAGTCTTTCTCTTACAAGACCACCTGCTGACATTACGCACCCCTCTTCTTTCTCTTTGTGACACTCCTCTTCTTCTTCTTTTTTTCCCGCACCTCGCACACCCCTCTTCTTTCTCTTTCTAGCACTCCTCTTCTTCTTCTTCTTACTGTTACGGAAAGTTCTTTCCGAAATTATATAAAAATGTTCCAGAAAATACTTTCCATAATATTAAATTCTTATTCCGGAAAGTATTTTCCGGAAATGTTTTGTTACATAATTCCGGAAAGTATTTTCCATAATATTAAAGTTACTATTACGGAAAGTTCTTTCCGGAATTATATGAACAATAATTTTACTATTCTGGAAAGTACTTTCCGGAATGCTAATGACTGTAAAAGTACTTTCCGGAATGCTAATGATTGTAAAAAAGTCTTTCTTATGCTGGTTATGGTGAGGCTAGTCCTTTTTTCTATTCAGAATGACTGTAAAAGTATATTACTTAATGAAATTGAGCGGAAAGAGACTTTGGGAAGAAGAGGGGTGTGGAATGTGGGGTGCGGGGAAGGGAGGTGTAAATTTAGGAATTTTATTTTTTTTAAAGGATAATTTAGACATTTTATATATATTTTTTTAAAAAGGGGGTGTATTTATACGAGAGTGGAGGTGTGTTTATCATCAGCCCCACCCTAATGAAAAGGTAGCAGGAAAAATTCTGGGCCCAAAATTGTATATAGTGGAAAAAGAGGCCCAGTCTGAGGCCCATAGAAGGATGATTCAGTGGCTTAACGCTTACAGCCTAAGAAAGCTGGAGGATGAAATGAAATTGAAAATCCCAAACGCAGAACACGACACAAACTTCTCAATCTCATCTCACCCTTTCGACGCAATTAACGTTCAATTTTTTTCATTCGAATTCTGTTGATTCCGACATCATGAGTTTCATCTTCGGAAATAAGAAAACGCCCGCAGGTTTCTTTATTTCGTCATGTTCATCCATTTTATTACATCAATTTCAAGAAAATTAAAATCTCTAAATTTTCCGCATTTTGCTTTCGATTCATTGCTCAAATTTTATGCATGTCATTAAACTCTGCATTTGTCTGTTGTTAATATTTTCTTCGACAAAATATCAAGTCTCATCACATTGTTTACTCGACAATTTCAGTCACGTCACGTGTGAGTGTAATATGTTTTTGACATCGTGAATAATAACACATTGAGGAGTTTGTGCTGTAATTTTTGTAGCTGTGACAATCAGAAATTATATTCGGCTATATTCTATATGGCATATTGTGAATTTTATGCAAATGGGTACTTGAGAATGATGATTAGTTTCACTCATGCATTTACATATGTATAACCTTCCTTTAGGTTGGCGTGGTGGTATCCAATTTAATGTTTATAAGCTGATGCACTCTCTGTTGACATCACTGTATATGATTGTAAAGCTGTGACTTTCAGAACTTTTGCGGGAAAATAAGAGAATGCTGGACAAATCAATTAGAGAAATAGACCGAGAGAGACAAGGTTTGCAGTCACAGGAGAAGAAACTGATTTTGGAGATAAAGAAAAGTGCCAAACAAGGCCAGATGGTATGTATATGGTGTTCGAGGTTTGAACTTTTGCTAGTATTTGTTGCCTTGTTTGCCTTAGTTTTTGGTTGGCGTATTGTCTATGAGTATGACTCATGCTACCTTAGCTGTTTTTTGTTGCATACATATTATACCCTCATCTGGTGGAGTTTGAGTTTTCTGCTCATCTTTTATTCATTAGTCACAGATGGTATGTTGATGATGGCTGCTCACTTAAATGTTCATATTTTTCCTTTTTCATGTACTTTTTTCCCTATCAATATTTATGAGAGGAAAATTGTGCTCCATGTGTTATAACAACAAACACACATTGATATTGGTATTCACGTTAATGATGGGGATTAAACTACTTTGGCTGTTGGTTTTTCTTCAAACAACTGCTTTTCTAATGCTTTTGCTGGCTCAAAACTGTCCATTTCGAGTGTGTAACAGGCAATTGTGAAAATTAAATTATTTCAGTGATCAATTATACTTAAAATAATAAATAATCATAAATCTCAAATTTCCAAATGTATGAAAATAGATTATCTTTAGAAAAAAGTTTTTTTTTTTTTACATATTTCATTTGTTGCCTCAATTATACAATCTCTTTTGCAAACAACTTTTTTATTCAAAACACAACCGAAACCATTAAATTTAATTTGTCCTAAGTATGTTTAGAGTGTGTTTGGCAATAATTTTTGGAGATTTCGATTGTTATTTGAGCAAAAAAGTTGTATACAAAATAAGTTGTTTGTTTGAGACAATAGTTGAAATTTGTAAAATGATTTTTTTTAAAACAACAAATTGTTTTCGTGCATCTAAAAATTTGAAACATATAATAATTTTTTAATAGTTTTTTCTTCCTTTAAAGCAGAATTATTGTGCAAAAGTTGAGTTTTTTTTAATAACTTTAACAAATTTACCTAAATAAAAATCTATTTTGATTATAATTGATACTTATAATAAATATATATATAATCAAATTATTAAAATAATTTAATTTTTATAACAGTCAATTTTCAAAGTAGCATGTGTATTAAAATTGTTGAAGAGTGAGTCTCCATTCTTCAGAAAGAAAGCAATGGATGAGAATTGTTAAATTTAGGGTGTCTTTAATGTGTTTGATACTTTGGTTTTAAGAGAGAAAATGAAAGGAAAGAAAAAGAATAGAAAGTGAATGATTTTGTATGTCATTGGAAAAATAAGAAAATGAATGTTTTTTTTTTCATGGTTGGATAAAAAATGAGAAGAAAGAAAAAAATTGTATATAAAAATCACATAAATATCTACGATAAAAGAAAAAGTGTACATAAGTAAGGAAAAATTAGTCTTTTTAGTTTTTATTATGTAAGTTATGTTTCCTTCCTCTTTTCTTTCATAATATGAGAAAATGCAATTATTTATGACCCTATAGTTTTTTGGTTCTGTTCTTTCACTTTTTTAGTTATTCCAAACAAAAACAAGATAAGGAAAGAGAAAAGTGGTCTCTTCTTTCGTTTACTAATATTTCAAACGATACGTTAAGTTCTATTATCATCATTAAAAAAGTGTGCTGTTTAATTTTTACTTATTTAAATGACTTGCAAGAAAATAAAGTTGTCATTTTATTACAGTGGAACTCCACTTGTCTCTTTGGAAAATATTGGACTTCACCATAATTTTACAATGTGAAATTTAACTACATATGATTCTTGCTGGGTGATTGAAATTGGGTTGCACATGATAAACTCTTTTTTTTTTTTGGATATAAGAAAACTGTTTTATTCTAGTAATATAGTTTGGTAAATGTTTTAACCAATGAACTGATTTCTACGACAAACCTTATATTGTCAGCAATTCACAATTATGTTCATCATGGTATAAATTTAATTCTTGATATAGCCATTAAGTTGGATAACATATGCTTTGATTCCATGTTTTATTTCATGTAATGTTTTCCAGGGAGCTGTTAGAGTGATGGCAAAAGATCTTGTTAGAACAAAGCATCAGATTGAAAAGTTTTATAAGCTCAAATCACAGCTCCAGGGTGTATCCCTCAGAATTCAAGTATGTGCTCGAAGGTGTAACACTGTAACTGTATCTGTTGGTTTGTAGTAGCATATGATCATTATAGGTTTCTAGTTACGAGCTAATTAAAGCTCATGGTATTTCGTTTTCCTTGAAAACTGATTGACTGACTGTCATTAAATTCCTAACAAAATTTGATCAATACTCATGCCTTTACTGATTGTCGATTCTAGAAGCTGGTCTCTAATGTATTACAATTGTTCAGACTTTGAAATCAACACAAGCAATGGGTGAGGCAATGAAAGGTGTGACTAAGGCAATGGGACAGATGAATAGGCAGATCAACTTGCCATCTTTGCATAAAATCTTGCAAGAATTTGAGAGACAGAATGAGAGGATGGAATTGATTTCAGAGGTGATGGGAGATGCAATAGATGATGCTTTGGAAGGGGATGAGGAAGAAGAAGAAACAGAAGAATTAGTGAATCAGGTTCTTGATGAGATTGGAATTGACATAAATCAAGAGGTATATTTATTTTGTTGCCTTCTTTTTTCAGCTGAGCTGCGTGTATATAACAAGTTTAAAGTGTTTTGAGAAGTTTTCTATAAATAACTCTTTATTTTAAATAGAAAAATTCTTAAAAGTACTTTTAACTTATATCCAAATAAGTTCCTAGTCACTCTAACAAGTTATGATATGATATGCAGCTTTTGAATGCACCATCAACGGCTGTTGCTGCCCCAGCTGCAAAGACTAAGGTGCCTCAAGTTGAAACTAGTGGGAATGATGATGCCGGGATAGATAGTGATTTACAGGCAAGGTTAGACAATTTACGAAAAATGTAATCTTCATTCAGATGCAGGGACTCCAGCTAACAGTTTTACTGAGAAAACAAGAGCTCATTTGTAACATGCAGTGTAAGTAACGAGCTATTAAATTCATGATTATAAGAAAATTGGATTTTTATTAAAAAAATTGCCTGTGTTCTGTCACTGTTGATTGGCTAAGCCGTGAGTTCTTTTGTGGTTACAGTTATGGGACCAAAACTTTTCTTTCGACTTTTGTAATTTGTTCAAAGTTCAAATAATTCTTCCGATATTCTAAACTAATGCCTGAATAATGTTTTGTCAAAACAATACGAATGTAAAAGCATTCACAATGGTCGTATTTTAAAATACTAGATCTTAAATATTTTTTTCATTAAAAATAATATAGGTGGAATGGTGCGTTGCTTAATTTTAAGCACCGGATCTTATATAAAATATAGTTGTTTATAATAAAATATCGTTAGCATGAGCTGTTTACAATAAAAAAAATGTAAGTATTGTAAGAAGTGTTTAAAATTTTATTATTAGGATAAAAGTATAATTTGTTGCTTGAATAAAATGTAACAATGTGAGACTTGAAAAAATAAAATAAGGTACATTTTTTAAATAATCACTATTATAGATAGGGATGGCAATGGGGCTTCATGGGGGCGGGTAATAGTAAACATGTTCCCGTCCAGCTGGATGAAAATTAGGCCCATACTTATTCCATATCTGCACGGGTAACTATTAAGCGGGTATCTATGAATTTCTTGAATACCCATGGATATCTATAGATATCCATAGATATTTATAAATTTTTTAAAAAATAAAAAAATTATATTACAAAGAATTTTAAGTTTATATTTAATGTCATTGAAATATTAAAAATAAAAATTTAATGTTAATTTTGAACTTGTATTTAACTTTAATTTTGTTGAAATAATAATAATAATGCAAGATAATCAATAACTTAAAATACATCAATCTCACAAGTAAGTTAAAGTTTCATCACAAAGTTACAATAATTCAATCTCATAATTCTAAACGAAAGTAAACAACTTAAAATACATAAATTTTATTGGTCTAATCAAAGTTAGAAAATTAATCAAATTACATCCAACATAATTTTATAACATGCTTAACACATGTTGGTAACTTCATTAACCTCACTTTTGTAAGAAAAAAGATAAGAGGGTGTAGTTTTAGGATTATGTGATATAAGTTATAATAATTAGGATATTTAAGAAATATTATTAAACGGGTACCCACGAGTATGAATATCATCATACCTGCCCCTGCCCCGTTTATAAACGGGTAAAAAATTATCCGTTCTCATTATCCACGGGTACTCAATTAGCCTATCTATTTATTATCTGTAACGAATTTTACCTGCAAATATCCACAGGTGTGGGTATTTTTGCTATCCCTAATTATAGATATATAAATACATTTGTGTAAATATAGGTATGAAGTAATATAAAGATCACTGATAATTGATAAAGTTAATGAATATTTTATACTATAATATAAAATTAAAAAAAAATCACGATAGTTGTGTACTACATTTAATATCAACTAATATTCAAACATACATTTAATATCTACTAATACAAACATGGTTTATGAGGAACCTTGGATTATTTTGTTCTACTCTTACATTCTTTTTAGCTAAATAATATTAAAAAAATATATGTAAGTTAAAAATATTATCGGTCCATTGATCCATTTATATAAATTGTGAAGCGATAATTGAATTATTATTAACTAAATTTACTGTTGGAGAAATGGTATAGCAAAAGAATTTTTGTAATGCAAGCCAATTTTGTAAGAAGAAATTGGAGGATTTTTTGTAATGTGAGTACTAGTGTTTGATATTCACTTATAGCGTGGAAAAAAATTATACCTCTTAATTATAAAAGAATGAAATGTTAAGAAAAAGTCATTACAACAAATATAAGATATAAGTCCTAAAATACTTCAACACTAAAATTACTTAATTAAAATTTAAGAAACTAAAATCACACAAATATTATACTTAAGTAAAAAAACACATTAAGTCAAAGCTAAACTATAAATTCTTTTGATATATTGTCGAACACAATATATTCCATTTCATCTTTTTTTTCCTCAAAGGGTTAAACTAATGATTTAAAATTTAAAAACTCCTCCAAAGCTAGAATCCAACAAGCAAGAATGCCATCGAACCAATCAGAATCGATAGGCAAAGCCAGATAATAAATTAAACCGAAAGATGAAAGACTAAAAGAAAAAGAGAGAATGACATGGAGCCATGGAGGCGTGTTGCACCAATTGAACAGCCCATGTTCAACCAATGAATAGCAGGATATCAAAAAAGAGAAAAATCAACCTAATTTATTGCAAGTCGAAAAATGAATAATATAATTAATATAAGATCTAACAGATATAATATATTTTTGTCAATTTATATAATTGTCAGCGTAATAAAATTATTGAAAGATCTGATAAGATATATCATTAAATAAGGACAACTCTTCAATAAAGTGCATAAATAAAGATATACTTATTTATTAATCAACTTAAACTTAAAGTGAATGGTAATTTTAATTTTTTTTTCCCATATAAGGAGTGGGACAAAGTTTGTTTGAACTAAGACTGAGTACATATTATTCCAACTGTCTTATGACTATTTAATAGTTCTTCACTAGGGTTAAACTATATTATTATTACTAGGAAATATATTTTAGATTTTTTTATAATAGATGATAGTATAATTTCAAAATAATAATAAGGAATCAAAATCAATTCCTCGATATGAATATTAAATAAACATTTTTGGTACAGATAAATTTGAGAGATGAGATGACAGCCGAGTCTTTGAGTCCAAGACTAGGAAAAGTCTCCGTCTCAAAAGAAAAAATGTTATTAAATATACTTTAAGGTCTATATTAACGTATGAAAGAATAAATTTAGCACTTATGTTATATAGTAAGAAAAAATAAAGTGAGTACTGAACCTCTTTTGTCACGTAACATCAGAAACAAGGTATCCAAAGTTGGCTCTCTGTTCCTTGGGCGTTGTGAAGGACTGAGTGGTCACAGTTCCAGCGCAATGGCAGGTCCCACGCCCATAAATCATACCAAGAGGGCACCACCGGAGCCAGAATTCTCCTGCTCACAAAATGGTCCAACAGGTGTTCGACAAATTGGGCAATCCAAGTGAGAGTAAAGCCACATGTCTATGCATGCAGCATGGAACGAGTGTTTGCACTGTGGTAGCTTCCTCACATCTTCACCTTCTTCAAAACCGGATAAGCAAACGGGGCATTCGTAATCATCCCCAAATCCTTCTTTTCCTGCTTCTTTCTCCTTGTACTTGAAGCTTGTGAGCAAGTTGGAGTTGCTTTGGCAGTTGGTATCATCAATGCTCCTTTCCATTACCACCTCGACCAACCCATTTGACCCTTCAGCCTGTGATTGCATGTGGCGCCTCCTGCTTCGCTTGATGATGATGAAGTTGTATAGGGCTAATGTCATGGCTGCAATCCCTACTACTACTAGGCCATAATATAACATGGTTGTGCTGGACTTGTCCGAGGAAGAGGGAGGAGGGGGTGACACAATGATGGGGCCTTGGAAATCACCCATTTCAGGATTTTGGGGTGAAATGGGCAGAGGAAATTGAGTGAAGAACAAGTTGGAGAATATGTTGTCGACAACTAGACATCAAAGTAAATCTCATCTATTAGCTAGGGCCTGGCTTATATAATTATAGACATTACTTTTTATTTATTTATCAAATTAAATTAATGCAAAGTAGTTAATCTAAATGCCGTGGTGGTTATGTTGTCATTGAAGAAGAGAAAATGATGTTTTTTTTTTCTTCAAGATATCATAAAATATGCCATATAACAATATTTATTCTATTGAGAGATGAGAGGATGAGAAATGTAGCAAATATATTATAATGACTACAGAGATGGGTGAGAACTGAGAACGACCATAATTCTAGATAACTCTGCTGTCCCTCTTGAAACTTTTTCTCCGTTGCCTGCGGGTTTGGTAATACTCTTAGTTAATATATAAAATAAAAAATAAAAAAAAACCAGTTTTGTACCGTTGAGAAAGCAGAATTGTATTTATTCATCAGTGAACGGGGCTACCGTTCTACAAGTTTCCTCTTTGTAATGTCTATTTCCATACAGGGACGTTTTGATAAATAAATATATGGAAGAGAATTTTCTGTTCTTCCGATTTTTTCCTCTTTTATCTTTTCGTTTTCAATGAAAAGTTAGAAGGCATAACTTGGAGTTGCGAAAAATGGTTCTTCCAGTTGAAAATTAATATGAACACTCGAGACGTGAAGTTACAAAAGACAACAGAAGTGGGCATGTATTTTATTTTCCACATCATACCATAATTGGAAAAGTAATGTTTCTAATATATCAAATGATAGATAGTTTTGGTATTGCCCACCCTAAATCAATCTTTTTTTCAATTTTTTATTTTTTGAATCGGCTCCAAAGTCGAAACAGATGTTCTGCATCTTTTTTAATTAGAGATTTTATTCATCAAGGTCAATTCCTTCTTCAGAATTTTATGGAGTAGCACAAGAATTAAATTAATTTAACCAATAATTTACTTGTAAGACATAATTGTTTAAATTAACTTGTCTCGTGATTGAGTCGAAAGCATTTTCAACACGCCTACTAATTTTGTTTATTATGCCAATTGTTTTTAGGAGGAAAAATGACTAATGCAAAGTGTGATGAATTTTTCTGGCTACGACAGATTCTGGAGCGGTCGAAACAACAGGCGGGAAAAAATGTGGCTGAAGTCTGAAGACAGAGCCCGCAAGTGCAATCAAATTTGGGCTGTAATGAAACAATAATTCAACTTCCAATACCTGTGGGCATTGAACACAAAAAGCCCAAAAAGTAGAACAAACGGTCAAGACCCAATGGATGATGGACCAAAACTCATATGAGGGTGGACAAAAACAAAAGGCAGAAAAGAACCCAAGCGAGGATCTCAGATTATATACTTTAGAAGCAATAGGCTGTGACTGGATAAATAAGATAACCTTATCTATCGAATCCAATGGAGAAGCTGCCACGTCAGACATAAGCAAATATGCCAAAAATTTCCACCTCTCGTTCTCACCGTTTCCATTGTCGCCTTTCTCAAAACACACACGCACCCTAACCATTTCATTTCCTCACTCTTCAAAGAAATTTCACCCGAGTAAGCAATTTGCAGGGTAAGCAGAACCAGGAGAAAGGAATGGCTTCAACTTCGGCAGTTTCAATGGCTGTGCCACTATCTTATGCCAGCCAGAAGAGGGTGGTGCCCAGCTCTGAGGCGTTCTTTAAGGCACCGTTGCCTCTGAGGCCATCAAAGGCTGTGGCAACATCAAAAGCCAATGGAAGGCTTCAAGTGAGGGCATCCATGAAAGAGAAATTTGTGACGGGTTTGACAGCAGCTGCATTGACAGCTTCAATGATGGTTCCAGATGTGGCTGAAGCTGCCGTTACACCTTCTCTCAAGAACTTCTTGCTCAGCATTGCGGCTGGGGGGGG